TGGACAAATTGGACATTGTCCAAATGTCCAAATGTCCAAATTGTCCAAATGTCCAATATTATGATGTGTCATCTCTGGAAATATATATAATTTATACTATGCTATTCTAATGTTATATTGTATTACAACCTGCTTTGTAACAATATTATTCCAAACTTCATAAATCTCTAATAAATCCTTTTAAATCAATTTGTTAATATTTAGGTTATTTAAAGCAAATATCATTATCTTTATAAGATTGCAGTATTTATTTGCAGTTATTTTGACAAGTGATGAAATTTTTGTCCAAAGCGTAGCTGAGGACGCTATACTTCTAGGCATTTGAAATCTTTCAGATCCCATGATGGTGTCTGTCATGCTGCGTAATTACCCAATAAAAATTTGTACATATAATAATGCATCTAATACTCATAATCAATTTTTTTCATGTGTTACGATGTAATTATATTTTTCCAATATTTAATCATGATCATAAATTGTCAGATAATGTATACTTAATATTAATATTTCTAAAGAATATAGTATAGCTTTTTTAAATTAATTAAAAACATTAAAAATTCTTTTAACTAAAGATCCTAATTACTTTAAAGCTGCTATAATTTGAGCGAATCAATCCCTTCAGTATGTGGTATATTTTATTTTGAAATTAAAATTAAATAAAAGAAAAAATGAATATTAATAAGACTATACAAACTTAATAAATCGGTTCTCATAACCCAGCTGGGTCAAAATTTCCAAAACTCTAAAAAAAAATTTCAAGTATACTTACTATCTAGGTGAGTTTTTTAAAAAAAATCTAAAAAAATTTTATATGTTTTTTATATATAAAATTTTTTGAAAATAAAATTAAAAGCCGGGTTGCCAGGTCACTTTTAAAAATTTTATGTTATGAGAACCAATTTATTATGTTTTGTATAGCCTAATTATCTTGTATTATAAACATTATTTTTGTTGTGGTGATTTTTTGTAATTCTAATTCTATTTTCTTTATAGAGCGATTAAAGCCGGATTTTGTACAAAACAAAGTGATAAAAAAATAGACTAAAGAGTGGATTGCGATGACTAACTCTATGGGTAAAAATCAATTTTCAAAGGCAAATGAATGTCAAAATGAAAGCATACGAATTTGGTTGGAGCTACAGAGATTTTACCAAATGAAGAATTAAACAAGATAATAGCAATTATTAAACAGTTATTCTTATACAAGTTTGAAAGATTTGTTGGTACCAAGTACAGATTGCAAGTTGGTGAACCTATATAAGATTTATTTTGATAATATGAAATCAAGGATTGATAAAGATGAAAAAATAGTCTATTCTTTGATTTCTTATTCTGTTACAAAAACTCTTGGAATAAAAATGCTTACCGGAAAGGTTTTTGGTTGTAAGTATAAACTATTTAATGATCTGATTGTGTTTTTTTTAAATAGAAAAACTTGTCTTTATAATTAAAAAAAAAAAACTCGAAAAATTCATGATAGTGACTTTTCTTGATTGTGAAAGGTATATAAATAATATGCTTATATCTGGTAATAGCAAATCTTATTTTATTTGCTTATTATTATAGATTAATGTCTATATTATATATTTTAAATCAGAAAAATAGACTGTGGGGTGTTGTTACCAAGGTGACTCTTATTGCTCAGGAAGTGGTGGGCTGTATGATTTATCAGATCTTTCTGGATATACTATCAGTGATATAATTAAATGCTATCTAAATTTTAGAAATAAGATAGTGTTTTATACTAAAAATGATATTAACTTAGATAACAACATTCTGAATTAAAGGTTATAATTTTAAAACAAATTGTTGAAATTTAATAATTATAAAATATTTGTAGCTGTTTTCATAAATTCTAAAAATTTTTTCATTTTTCAAAATCTCTTTGGTTTCATTCTAATGTTATCTAACTCTTTAGAATCATGTCATTGTCTTTAGAACTTCATTCTGGAGATAGCAATGTATTTTCCAAAGAGTTAGATAATTCTTAGGATGAAACTGAGAGATTTCAGAAAAAGAAAAATTTTTTAGATATCCTAGAATTTATGAAAACAGCTATAAAGGAATTGCCTGCAATCTATCTAACGATTTGGAAGGCAATCTATACCAAAACAGAACAATAGAAGTGAACTTCGGCATCGAAATTTTTAAATATTCTGGTAAATTTATTCAAAAGGTTTAATCATTTTTTGCTTATTAAATTTAATCTTATTTATATGTATTTAGATTGACACTAATAACTAATGAAGACATTAATAAAAAATCAAATAATGCGTTAATATTTGAATATCAAGAAAAAGATTATTTTATTATGGGTGGATATGAAAATATGCTCATTAATTTAACCAACAAATTAACAAAATCGCTAAAAAAAGATCCAAGTAATGCATTTGAATTAAGCTACCAAAGAAAAATATATTGTTATGGGCAAATATGATAAAATTTGAAGATTTAACTCGATTTTTAAAAGTTGAAACCGATAATACAGTAGCATTAATATATTGAAGAAAAATTAAATATATGATGAAAATATATAATAAGTTAACTGCCAATTTATTAAAAAATTGATATATATTAATGATTAGGCCATGCAAAATAAATTAATTGGCTTTCATAATCTGGCCAGATCAAAATTTGGGAATTTCAAAAAAAATTTTTTATATGTTTTAATAACCAGGTGGAGTTTAAAAAAAAATTTTATATAAATTTTATAAATTTTATATATAAAAAAAGCTGGCCAGCCGGCCGGGTCAATTTAAAAGTTTCATATTATAAAAACCAAGTAATTAAATTTGTATGGCCTTAATTGTGTGTTTTTTTTATATTCAATTATATTATTGTTTTATTTTATATATTGTTTTTTAAAATTATCATTTTTTTTAATTAGTTTACTTTAAATTATTGTTATTTTTTTTATTAATTTTTTATTTATTAAATTATTAAATTATAGTTTTTTTATTATTATTAAATTATAAATTATATTATTATTATGAACTGGACTAGATAGTGCCCACATGTAGCTATATTTCAATAATTCTATAATAACTCAAAATTTTACTAGAGTAATCCTTGTTGTATAACTAAGTAAAAATGCTCCTCTCATAATTTTACCTAAGCCCAACTCTAACCCTAACCCTAGTCCTAACCTAATCTAACCTAACTCTAAATCTAACCCTAATATTAATAGGCTGCATAATTTTTCTATAAAAAAAACTATACTTAATAGTATAGCTACATGTAGCCTATAGCTACAAATAGATTAATTCTTATTATTATTATTGCTTTTTTTTAAATTTTTTACATTAAATTCTTTTAATTTTTTTTAAATTATAGATAGAAATAAAATTTATTAGTTATGCTTCAAACTTTTAACAAATTCTGTTTTCTAGTATTTTTAAAAATCTTAAAATCTGAAAACCTTGTAATATTAGCTAATTTTTTATCAATTTTATCTAGAATTAAAGCACTATATTTTACTTTTGTTTAAATAATCTCAAATCTAAATGATATATTCTATTAATTACAGTAGCTTTATAGATATTAAAATTTCTAAAATTAATTTAAAGTATAAAGTTTAATAATCTATTGCATAGTAATTTTAATTACTTTGAATTATTTTAAAATATTTCACACTATTGCGATTTATATTAAATTATATATTTATTACAAAATTTTGAATAAAAAATATATTTTAATCAGTTTGCACTATTTTATTATCAGTGTTGGGCAAATTAGTGGTTGATCAAAAATTTAATAGTCAAATTGGTTTGGTCAAATTGGTCAAATAGTCAAACTGGTCAAATTGGTCAAATTAATTATATATATATTATAATAAATTATATTAAAATATACTATTTAACCAATTTGACCAGTACAGATCCTTTAACCAAACTGGTCAAATTGGTCAAATTGGTCTGGTCCAATAGTCAAACTGGTCTGGTCAAGCCAACACTGTTTATTATATTGTGAAATAAATCACAACATTTTGGTTTATATTAATTGATAATCTTTCAGTCAACTAAAGTATAATTTTAGTAAAATATGACTCAAATTACTATATAAATTTACTATAGTGTGAATCTGGCAATCGCCCAAAGTAAACTTTTTTTTGTACTAATTTAATCACTTTTCTTGCTTAAGAAACTTTTATAAAGCTTGTCAAGACACATCTAATTAGTGCTTGGCACAATCAAATAATTATTTGATAGTCAAATACTTAGTAAATATTTGATGATCACTGATTTCCAAATCAAGTAATGCATAATCTCGATCTAATAAGCTTTGCATATCAAAATTGATATAAGCTTATTGTACTTTCGACCCTTAACTTATAGTGAGAATAGATTTTTTAGATCCCCAGGTTTGAATTTTTTATATTGTGTCAGTTATAAAAAATTTAAAAGCTTAGAACATTTTTATTATAGAACACTAGATCCGGCATTAGAATGTTAAGCTTA